CGGGGGAGACCTGCCCACTCCCCCCCCCGCCGTGCTGGGAGACATGTGGCTTGGCAAGACCCCCCAACCGTGAGCCCTGAGCTTCCCCTTCCCCTTCTTCCCCTTGCTTCCCTCTTCCAGCTCCCTCCTCCCAGTTTTCCCCCTCTTCTCTCCCACCCTCTCTCCTGCCCTCTCTCCCCCATCTCCCCAGTTGTGTTAAATAAAGACAGTTTCTATTTTTGAAAATACATGTATTTTATTTGACATCAGGAAGGGGGGGGGGCTAGGGAAGGGTAAGTGGAAGGATGAGAGGGAGAAATGGAGTACAAGCCCCCAGTGGGGCAGACTGGGGAGACTGTTAGCGCTCCTCAGGGTGGAAGCTCTCCCGCAGGGCCCCCTGGATCCTGACAGCCCCTTGATGGTCCTTCCGGATGGCAGCCTACAGACAGTGCAGCCAGGCTGCTGGCAACGTGTCCATGAGATGCAGCACAGTCCCCAGGGGCAGGTCTGGTTCCATGTAGCAGAGTGCCATGGTGTCCCAAGTGCGGGCAAGCAGAGCACTCTCTGACACAAATGCTTTGCTGTCCCTCAGCGAGGTAGACCAGCAAGCAGAGAAACCTGAGAACTGTCTGTCCAGGATGGGGGGGTCAGGTCCCTTTAAGCACAGACCTCGGATAGCCTTAGGCAGCAGCCCCACACACTAAGTCCGACCCTGATGCCCTGCTGGCGCTGGTTCCGGCCAGCCTTACCTTCGATTCAGGGTCCACTCAATGTGGACATGCTATTTCGAATTAGAAAAACACCATTTCAATTTAGTTTTTGTGTCTAGATGCGTTATTTTGAATTAGCTTAATTTGAATTAACTAATTTGAAATAAGTTAATTCGAAATAGCGCTGTAGTGTAGACATACCCTCACTGAGTACCCAGGGAGGTTAAAATATTCTCTTATTTGTATGTGTGTTAACTTTCTTAATGTCTGATTTGTGTCCCAGGCCACTGCTTCCAGCAGCTCCCTTTGGCTGCAAATGGCAAAACACAGCCAATGGCAGCTACAAGGCTCCATGGCTGCGGAGCTGGTAAGTAAACAAACTGGAGCAGCCTGGTAGCGGCTTTCTCAAGGTGGGTCCACAGACCATTTTGAAAGACACTGCTGTAGACAATGGATAGATGATATGTCCTGCATGGAAGCCAGAGACATGTAAGCAAGAATAGAGGTCAGTAGGTTTCTGGTATAGGGTGGTATTTATGTAACTATCATTTATTTGTACTGTAGTGTCCAGAAAGTGGCTCTTTTGTGTGGATTGGTCCATACTGAGATTGATGGTGGGGTGGAAATTGTTGAAATCCCAGTGGAGTTTTTCAAGGGCCTCCTTCCTGTATGTCCAATGTAGCACAAGTAGAGGATTGGTGCTGGGGTACAAGAGCTGGGGAAGTATTGTTCTAGATCAGCCATAAAAATGTTGGTATAATGTGGAACCATGCAAGTACCCCTAGCAGGGCTGCTGACTTAAAGGTATAAATTGTCCCCAAATTTGAAATGGTTGTGGGTGAGGACAAAGTCACATAGCTCAGTCACCAGGTATGGCGTGGCATCATCAGGGATACAGTTCTTGACAACTTGTAGTACATTCTCATGTGGAGTAATGGTGTAGAGAGCTTCTACATCCATGGTGGTCAGGATGATGTTTCAGGAAGATCACTGATGCATTGGAGTGGTGTCTTGAAGATAGCTAGGAGTGCTGATAGCATAGGAGAGACTCTGAGGAGAAAGTCCACATAGCTGGTCAACCGGCTATAGGAGAGTGAATGCCTGAAGTAATGAGGCATCCAGAATTTCCAGGTTTATGGATCTCAGATAGTAGATAGAAGACTACTGGTCTTCTAGGGTGTATCTGTGTAAATTTAGTCCCATGCTATTGCAGGGAGTTTCTCGAGCAAATAATTTATTTTGTTAATCCTCAGGGGAATCAGAGGGTAGTGGCTTGCAGAATGTCATGTGGGAGAGTTGCCTGATACCTCCTGTTCATAATCTGACATAGTCATTATGACTACAGCACCTTCTTTCTCAGCCTTTTAGATTATGATGTCAGAGGTGTTTTTGAGGCAGTAGACAGTGTTGTGTTCTGTATGACTGTGGTTATGGGACAAGTGGTGGTATCTGTTCACGATTTCAGCCTGTGCATGTCTGTGTAAAAGTCTAGACTGTCATTTCAACTGTCAGGAGTCCACGCAGAATTCTTCTGTGGGGACATTGGTGGTAGAATCTTCATGTTCTGAGGAGATCCCAAGAACTTCTTCAAGAGATCCCTGAAATAGTCTCAGTATCAGACAATAATGACTAGGCAGGCAAGAGAGGCAGCGAGACTGAGCTTTAGTGGTCAGCTGAATTAGGATGTGAGGATATGGCTCAATGCCTCCATTCACGGTAAGTAGATAGTAAGGATGTAAAAGTGTAACCCTTTAAACAGTTACTCGATAAGCATCGGCTTACTGTATCCATTACAGCTACATGCTGGCTCCTTGGGGAGGCCCCTGCTGGCCCTGTTCCCAGGGAGCCAGCTTCACTGGGGGATTTGCAGTATAAAGTTTATTATATATATATGCTTTATACTGCAAAGTCTGCAGCAGGTGTAACCATATAACTGGTAGGATTTTTAGTGGTTACAAGGTTACATTTTTAAACAACTTTTTACATCCCTAGTAGATAGTGCCCCAGGGAGGTCCTGGAACAGATTCCCTTACAATATCAAATTAGTAGCCAGGTTGTCTCAGTGGTGCCCCTTAATGCCCTGACTAGGGCACTGTTTAGCCTGCTGTGGATCTCAGTGGTCATTTGTGGATTCATCAGCAGGATCCCGTACTACCGTACTACTGTTCCTGACTTGTCTCCATGTGTCTTATTCAGACTATCGAGTCCTAATTGTCCTATTCTCCAAACGGCTCATCTAGGTAGCAAGCTGCTTTAGGCTCTGAGTTTTGAACCAAGCTTTTCTCATGTAGGAAGTGGCAGATCTCTGCTGGTCAGCCTATCACATGGTGATAAAACTCTTACTTCTATCTTTGGATTGCTAAATGGGTTTTTAAAAATTATTTATTGGGAGAAATCAGTATTTTAGCAACTGTAAATTTTATCAATGAATCTTCCAGCCACAATCTCTCCTGCAGAAAAAGTAAGTTTTTGAGTGCCTCACTAGTAACATAAATTTATTCCATCCAGTATTGCAACCAAATATTATATAAAATTAACAAAACAAAAACACATAGGAAACAGGGCTTTAAATAATACAAAGCTACAGAAGAATGTAAACACTCATGGGACAGGTGGCTCTCATATAAGACAGATTATGGTACTTGTAATGCTAATTTGCACATGGGATGGACATCACATGCACAAAAAATTAATGTGGCCCCAGTGTCCCAGAGTATACACAGAAGGTACTGAGAACCGGCTGCTCCACTTACAGGTTTTTTTTTATCACTTCTGAATTGCATTTTAATAGTACATTTTTCTTTTGTTGAGACATGAAAGAAAATTGGCTCTCTCAGGGGAGTGGATGGCTGAGAAGACAAGGCTAGAAGTTTAAGGATTTGCCCATATATGCATGGAATTTAGTTTAGCCATAACATTCACAATTCAATGAGCATACAGTGTTTGTAAAGCCTATATACTAAACAGATTTTAATTTTTTGTAAAATACCATTTATTGAGAAAAGTGGAGGATAAACTAAATGAAAATGATGTTCAGAGTCTACTATCTTAAATTACAACCCTATAGACAGATCTTTTAAAAGACTGTAGTTTTAATTTAGATCACTGTTCAACTCTGCCTTTTTTTTTTCTTTTTTTTTGCAAATAGTCTCAGAGTAACTCAGATTTTATGAATCTTGATTTTCAGCTCAAAACAATATTTGGATTATGTGAGAAATGATACACAATAGAACATGTATGTAAGTAAGTATCATAAATGCCTATTTCTTATGCTGTGTTCTACTGAATATCTGAAAACAGATAAGTGCATATATTGATGTGCGTGACATTAACTACACGCTCTCTGGAGTATGTCTCTGTACTTGGAAATTATTAATAATATTTATTAGTTTTTGAGTAATAGTGTAGATAGATAGAATGGCATAAAATAAACTGTCGCTTGTACTGTTCTCTTTATGTCTCCATCTCCGTAATCAGATCCTTAGTGTGGTTCCTTGACCCATGTCACTCAGAATGTAGGATGATATATATTTGAAAAATTGAAGTCCTCCTACATTCAGCAAGAATCTCTGATATTCGTTGTGTATTCATTTCAGTAAAGAATGTGATTTTAAAATACTCTGTATCTGTTTTAAAACAGAATAGCTAAAGTATATCTTGGGAATTATATATAAAAATTTGATCAACATTTCAGAAAAATTTGCTCAAAACTTCAGAAAAATTATAGTATAGATCAGGAGTGGGCAAGAGGCTGCCAGCGGGCTGGATCCAGCCACCTTGCCAAAACCCTTAGGAAGAGAGAAGCTCATGCTTTAAAAAGCATCTGCTCTCAATTCTGGACTGCTAGACAGGGAGGAGGAAGACTTTGCACGCTGCTCCCACCCCAGCAAAATTTCTCAGATCCCATTGACTAATTTCTGGCCAATGGGAGCTGAGAAATTTTGCTTGGGGCAGGGGCAGGGGAAGCGCGTGAAGCCAGCTCCTTTCCCTCCCTCTCCCCCCTCATACCCAGAGCAGAGCCATGTGGAGCAGTTTGAGACTGCAGCTCAGGTTCCTGCAGGGCTGCTGGCTGGGAGCCACCTAGGTAAGCACCTCCCAGCTAGAGTCTGCCTCTGGAACCTCACCCCTCTCTCCCCTGCAACTACCTGCCCTAGTCCATCATTCAGACCCTCTGTACCCCTTTCCCCCTTCTGCCAGGTCACAACTCCCTCACAGACCCTGTACCTCTTCCTACACCCGTCCCTCAGTCCAGAATCCTCTCTGGCACCCACACCCCCTCCCTGACCTTGCAACTCATTCCCCTGCTCCAGGTCACCACCCAAACTCTTTGCACCCCCTTCATGCAGGTCATGACTCCCGCCCAGATACTGCACTCCCTGCTAGAGCCTCTTCCCCAGTCTAGAATCCTCTCCTGCACCCTTACCCTCTCCTGGACCCTGCACCTCAAGCCCTTATCTCAGATCGTAACACTCTCCTTCACCCAAACTCCCTCTCAGACCCCACGTCCCCGCCTGCAACCCAGTCCCCTACACCAAGCTCCCTTGTGCACCCAACCTTCATCCCAGACCCCGTACCACTTTCATAGAAATGCAGTCCTTGACCACTTGCCAAAATCTTGGAGTGGCCACCCATTAAAAATTGTTGCCCACCCCTGATATAGACTGATACAGAAATTTGTAGCTTCATGTATACTTTTAACATAGCTGCTCACAAAATCAGCAATAACATATATTCTGAACTTGGTAGAAAAGGGGAGAGGTTGACAAAGAAAGGAAAACATCTAGAGAACACTAAATCCAGACAGAGAGATCAATGCCAGTTAACTGCACAAGTGTAGACTTGATAGGTCTATGCAAGCAAAGATCTAAAGAACTTGTTCCAGCAGTATCTTAAATCGGGCTCCCAGCCTCCTGATGTGACTAAGATGGAACTCCACAAGATCTTGAATGTTTCCCATAACTAAAGGTAGTGGTAGCAGAATGGAGCTGGAGTCAGCTCTCTCTTGGTAATCATATTGTGATAGGTTGGCACTCATTTCCCACATGCACCCCCGCTCTGGCCAGGTGCGTGTACCTACACTCTCTCTGTTTGACAGATGAAAGCCCCTTTGTCAGTGTGTGAATCACAGACCCCACTGGAGTACACATATAACAGTGGCCCATCTCAGTTCCCTCAGTCTATTCTGTTTCCCCACTCTGAGAGAAAGTGGTGCCCCTAGGCTTCCCCTTCTGGAGACAATGTCTTTGACCTTTATTTCAGAGACACATCACAGTCCACAATAACTGTCCACATGGAGCTATTCACAGTAATGCTTCTCTCTCAGCCAGCTAGTATCCTGATTAGCACAGCTTGACATCTCCAGAGGAACTGACCACAGGATGGGGATCAAACAAAGCTCCTGCAAGGCCCTGAGTAAGCAGGAAGGAAAGCTCTTCATGCAGGAAAGCCTGGAAGTGATCTTGACTACAACAAGGAGGAAAATGAGGAAAGATATGTAAGCTGGGCGAGATGCTGAATAATAGAAAAGGAGACTGGCTGAAAAAGAGTCCCAAACAGGGTGAAAGCTTTTGTTTCAGTTAAAGAGAGGTTTTTTTGAACTTATATTTGGACAATTGTGAACCTTGAATGGGTGCACTAAAGACTAAGACCTAACCAAAGGGCCAAGTTACCTAACAGAGAAACCACCATCCAGCAATGGAAACACTAGCCTAGTGAGGAGCTGTGACTCCATGCCTGCTTAAAAGGGGCTTATTGCGGTGAGTGGACTTGGTAGACTGTTCAACAGTCAAATACTCAGTGACCTGGCAGCAACAGAATATGGGCCTGATCTCTGATGTCAGGAATCCTTCATACTTTATCCTCACTTCTGAGAAAAGTGTGCTGCATTTCTACATCAACTACAGGAAGATAGTTTGTCATGGGTGTTGCACTGTACAGTACCATCTGGCACATGCAAATTAATTATTTTTTTAATAAAGAACTTTATGAATTTTTAGTCCTCAAAGTTGGGGCCAAATCTGAAGTTATTCTTCCACCCTTCAGATGTGCCCTCCTTGGGACACTGAGGGTATGTCTACACTGCATGCATATTTTGAAATAAGTCATTCTGGAATAGTTATTCCGAAATAGCTTATTTCGAAATAGCATGTCTACACTGCAGGGAAACCTCAAAATTAGTCTGAGGCAAGCTTCCCTAATGTAGACATGCTATCTCAATTTAGAGTCGCAGGAGCACTGTGGAAGAATCACTTAGAATAGCCCTGGTGAGGAGCTATTTTGCAATAGCAGCAGTGGAGTGTCTACATGCACCTTATTTCAAAACAGCTATTTCAGAATAGACCTTATTCCTCACAGAATGAGGTTTACAGATTTTGGAATAAGCCGTCCGTTATTTCTAAATTATTTTGAAATAATAGAATAGCTATGTAAACACTCGCATTGTTATTTCTAAATAACACTTATCTCAAAATAACGGTGCAAGATAGATGCATCCTAAGTACTATCACCAGTGTTAACATCCCATTCTGCTTTTCACTCAGAGAAGGTAGGAAGCTCTGTGGCTGTTCTCACCTTAATATAACTGTGCAGGAATAGCCATAACTTGTCCCATAATGATGCATGTTATAACTAGATGTATTTACAAAATAAGGACAGTATAATCCATTTGACATATCAGCTACGTCTAGACTGGCATGATTTTCCACAAATGCTTTTAACGGAAAAGTTTTTCCATTAAAGTATTTGTGGAAAAGAGCGTCTAGATTGGCACGGACACTTTTCCGCAAAACCACTTTCTGCGGAAAAGCGTCCGTGCCATTCTAGACGCGGTTTTGCGCAAGAAAGCCCCAATCGCCATTTTAGCCATCGAGGCTTTTTTGCACAAAACAGTTTACAGCTGTCTACACTGACCCTTTTGCGCAAAAGCATTTCCGGAAAAGGGCTTTTGCCCGAATGGGAACATCAAAGCATTTGCACAAGAAGCACTGATTTCGGACAGTAGAACGTCAGTGCTTTTGCGCAAAATCAAGCAGCCAATGTAGACAGCTGGCAAGTTTTCGTGCAAAAGCAGCTGCTTTTGCGGAAAAACTTGCTGGGTACCAGTTACACTGGAAAAAAATGTATAGTGGAGTGCTGATGATATAAACTATTGGGCTGTGTCTACACTGCACCCCTTTTCCGGAAAAGGGATGCAGATGAGACAAGTAGGAATTGCAAATGAAGCGGGGAATTTAAATATCCCCCGCTTCATTTGCATAAACATGGGTGCCGCTTTTTTCCAGCTCGGGGCTTTGCTGGAAAAAAGTGCCAGTCTAGACGGGATCTTTCGGAAAATAAAGCCTTTTCCGAAAGGTCCCTTATTCCTGATTTTAAGAGCAATAAGGGACCTTTCGGAAAAGGTTTTATTTTCCAAAAGATCCCGTCTAGACTGGCGCTTTTCTCCGGCAAAGCCCCGAGCTGGAAAAAAGCGGCAGCCATGTTTATACAAATGAAGCGGAGGTTATTTAAATCCCCCGCTTCATTTGCAATTCCGACTTTTCTCATCTGCATCCCTTTTCCGGAAAAGGGGTGCAGTGTAGACGCAGCCTTGGTGTTTGCTATTACTACTTCAAGTCAGGAGGTGCGGCAGTACTCCTAACTCCAGCACCACTGCTGGCTTCTTCCAATGAGATACCATTTGATAAGTAACTTATTCAGCATTCATAATTTTATTCTACACTAAATGTGTATCCAATTCAGAGATGTGCTTATTATATAAATTATTTTGTGTTCTGATGTCTGAATCTAGAAATCCTCTGGTCATTTTTGTTTAATCAAGGTCTGCAATGGAGTAAGGTAGAGGGAAAAAAGCATAGCTGCCTACTTGTATGAAACAAAAGCAACAGAAATCTCTTTTGCAGACAAAATTCTAGAACTTCTTAATTATACACAGACTTATTATCTACATCCCCAGTGTTATAAAGTACCAGAACTTCATTAGAAAAATTAAGATAGAAAAATGAAGGCACCACTTTGTAAATTTCCACTGGAAATTAGCTGGAAGAAGCAGAGGAATACTGGATCAAAAGAGGGTAATCATGCTTAACTGTGCCCTAGAGCACCCGCATGTATAATACGATTTACACAGTAACTACCTCTCCTATTACAGCTTGTTTGGAGTATTCTGTGTTAATGGGGTTAGCTAATTTAGTATTTTAACTTAAAAAGACTCTGCTGATTAATAAATGTTGCACACTGTGCTAGTAATTAAAATAAATGGAAGAGTTACAAATAGAAGTTGAATTGTTAAGGATACATTATCTGAAAATATATGATAATCCCTGTTTATCATAATACAATAACAGTCCAGAAAATATGCAAATTGCTAAAGTTGCAAAGCATTTGAAAAAGCAGACATAATTTGAAAAAAGTTTTGAGATGTGTAAGATCTGTGTGACAAATACAGTGATTATTTTCGTTGTAACTCAGAAATACAGTGAATTGTATCATCCAGAAATAAGACATTAAAATAATTATTTATTTAAGAAAAAATCCTACTCAAGCATTTAGCTGAATGCAAAATAAAATGTTCTTTAAATGTTGTTACCATTTATCCAACTCCCGACCCTCACATTCTATAGAGACAGTGCCTATCTATCTAGGTCACAAATTTATCCATAATCTTTCCCCAAAGAGGGTGTGATGGACTGTCTGCCCCACACTGGCCCTTGAAAAGTGAAACCCCGGCTGAGGGCTGGAGCTGTGGACTCAGCAGCTGTGGCAGCTAACGCCAATTAGGGCCCAGCTGAGGGCAGTATAAATACTGTAAAGGTTCCTGGAGGGAGTAAAGTCTAACTCACTCTTGCTCTAGCTGCAGAGCAGGAGAGACCTGGCTGCCAAAGAAGCTAGAGGCTTCCTGATTCAGAGCAGGGCTGGGGAAAGGCAGGCAGAGCTGGGGAGCTTTGGCCAAGCAAACTCCCAGGCTGCAGGACCTGAGGCAAGACCCGAGGTTACTAGAGCTGATGGAAAGCAGCCAAGGCAGGGGAAGGCAACAGGTCCACACCCCCCTTGCCAATTATCAGTGGCCACTGCAGTTTGCCCCTGTGGCAGAAGCTAGATGAAGACTGGCAGTGGGTCACTGAGGCAAGGTGGGTATAGAGGGTTGGAAGTTTCTGGAGAGGGAGGACCCCTGAGCATGGGGACACTGCAGCAGGGCATTACCCAGGTGGAAGGATGCCATGGTCTAGGAGGGATGTGGGTCTTAACACACAGTGGTGGAGAATAACTACCAACAGCCAAGACACTGGCCAGAAGGGGGCATCCAGCACTGCAGAGCCAATTCCCAGGGTGATCAGTAGGAGGCACTATGATGGTGAGTCCCACTCTATTACAGGAGAGTTAAAGCAGAAGTTAGTAGTTGGACAGTTGCTCACTTTGAAACTTTTTTAGCAAAAAATGTAATGGATAAGAAGAACAGAAGGAATTCATCCTCTTGGAAAGAGTACTAGCCATTTCCCTTAAAAGCAGACCACGCCACTAGCGTTCATTGTTCAGGAAAGACCTAGCTAGATAGTGGAATTTGACCCCACCAAATAATTCCTTAATCTTGGTAAGAAAGATGAATTCAGCAAAGCAAGATGGAACATTCAGAACTATAATTACACTGACAGCAAAGTATCAAAGGGGTAGCCGTGTTAGTCTACCACAGTAACTCTAACTCAGGAACCAATCCCTGCAACAAACCTCGGTGCCAACTCTGCCCACATATCTACATCAGCGACACCATCACAGGACCTAACCAGATCAGCCACACAATCACTGGTTCATTCACCTGCACATCTATTTGCTATCATGTGCCAGCAATGCCCCCCTGCTATACACAGCGGCCAAACTGGACAGTCCCTACGTAAAAGAATAAACTGACATAAATTGACATAAATCAGATATTAGGAATGGCAATATACAAAAACCCGTAGGAGAACACTTGAATCTCCCTGGACAGGACACACAGTAGCAGATTTAAAGGTAGCCATCCTGCAGCAAAAACACTTTTAAGACCGGACTTCAGAGAGAAACTGCTGAGCTACAGTTCATCTGCAAATTCAACACCATCAATTTAGGATTAAACAAAGACTAAATGGCTAGCCAACTACAAAAGCAGTTTCTCCTCTCCACTACATGCAACTGACGAAGTGGGTCTTTGCCCACGAAAGCTTATGCTCCAATACATCTGTTAGTTTATAAGGTGCCACAGGACTCCTTGTCACACTGATAGCAAAAAATGTTGAAAAGAGAGGTCACGGGGTTAATTTGTCTTACCCCTCAGAATTTCCCCTCTTAATATCCACATTTCCATATCAAATGCTGTGAAGGAGCCACTTCCACCATGACTTGATAGGTCTCATTTACACAAGTATCCTCTTTCTTTTGTAGTCCTTACATATATACCCATGCCTCTGTGAACTTCACTCCAATTCATCTGAGTGCAGTAACAATAGCTAGTTTTACGCAGTCTTTACATACTTAACTGGATGTTGCAATATAAAGCCAGCATTTAATACCTCATTTTTATATCAAAAGCTACATATGGGACAGTTCCAGCCCACTTAATTAGCCTTATTAGCACCGGTACCTTTTTCCCAATTCTTTTTCTGTTATAAATTCTGGGTTTCTGCTATCCCTCTCCCGCTTATCTGATGAAGTAGGTTTTGCTCATCATACTATACATATTTTTGTAGGTCTCTAAAGGCATGTCTACACAGCAGGGCTAAAGCTGAAATAAGGTACGCAACTTTAGCTACGTCAAGGTACGTTAAGTCAAATAGCTTATTTCGGCTTTTGGCGCTGACTACATCGCAGGAAATCTGAGGGAGAGCACTATTCCTTCAATTTCCCTTACTTCCCGTAAAATGAGGGTTACAGGAGTTGGAGTAAGAAGTCCTCTAGCTTGACAGTATCTCACCATTATGTTGAAATAACCACTTGATGTACAGACTATGTTATTCTGAATAATGTCAGTTATTCCAAAATAATGGCGCTGTCTAGACATAGCCTAAGGTTGGTATTACATGCTAAGAGTTCTAAAACTATTTGTTCCAGCAGGTGATGTCTCATGCCAGACGCTAATCTGTAAAGTGGGTGTTCCAATTTCCAACTCTTAGCCAAGTGGAAAGTAAAATCACTCCATCTTTAT